GACGGGGTTTCACCATGTTGACCAGGATGGTCTCGATCTCTTGACCTCGTGATCCACCCACCTCGGCCTCCCAAAGTGCTGGGATTACAGGCTTGAGCCACCGCGCCCAGCCAAATACTTTATTTTTTTGAGTCAAAGTGTTGCTCTGTCACTCAGGCTGAAGTGCAATGGCACCATCTTGGCTCACTGCAACCTCATCCTCCGGGTTCAAGCAATTCTCCTGCCTCAGCCTCCTGTGTACCTGGAACTAAGCCACCATGTCCAGCTAATTTTTGTATTTAGTAGAGATGGGGTTTCACCATGTTGGACAGGCTGTCCTCAAAGTGATCTACCTGCCTAGGCTTCCCAAAGTGCTGGGATTACAGGCAAGAGCCAAATACTTTTAAGGAACAGAATCCACTTTTCAAATTGAATCTTAAATGCACGCTCGATACATAAAAAAACAAGTAAAGGATATTTTTGGAAATTCCAGCTTTCTCTACTTTTCCTAAATCCCTTGAAGCTCTAAAATTTAAAAACCATTTTTTTGAGATACACAACATCCCTCACTGGGACAAGTTAACGATGGCTCTAAAAACAAAATTTGAAACTATTACTTCATTTCACATTCAAAATAATAGCTAAATTTTCAATGTTTTCAGCTTTTACCCAATCTCTAAAATGTGTTTAGAGATCACTCATAATCATTGAATGACTAGTTAAATTATACTTACCTCATTTTCTTCTTCTCTATTTCCATTCAGCCAAGAAAACATGCAAAAGAATAAAAAGAAATCATAAATACTTAAAAATGATTAAGATAATAGTTATTTTTAGTTAAAACTTAGGATACTTACTACCTACAGGTATATTCTATATGGATTGTCCATTCCTTCAGACTCAGTTACATTTAGTTTAACAAATATTTATTGAAGGCAGTGCCATGCACTATGCTAAGTTCTGGAGACCAAATTTGAATAAAGCAGCATCCCTGCCCTCAAAAAGCTCAGCTTCCTGCAAGTTACAAAAAAGAAATTTGTAACAAAAGTAATTCCAACATAATGGAGTCAATATAAAAATAGGAATATGTATAGTGAGGCAGCAAAAAGGACGATAAGCAACTCAGTTTAGTGGGAAAATAAGAACCCAAAGACTCTTTCCTGGCCAGGTGTGATGGCTCATACCTGTAATCCCAGTACTTTGGGAGGCTGAAGCCAGCTGATGGCTTGAGCCTAGGAGTTTGAGACGAGACTGGGCAACATGGTGAAACCCTGTCTCTATAAAAAATACAAAAAAGCATGGTGACATGCACTTGTAGTCCCAGCTACCTGGGAGGCTGAGGTGGGAGGATCACCTGAGCCCAGGCAGTTGAAGCTGCAGTTCACCATGATCACACCACTGCACTCCAGCCATGGTGATGGCTGTCTT